GGCCTTTGGCCTCTTCTTAGCAGGAAGGCTGAAGCTCTGTCTGGGTCTGTTTTACAGCCTAACTGTCTTAACAGGTAAGTTGTTTTTTTTTTTTTAACTATAAAACGATGGTAATATTTAAAAAAAAATGCTTACTTAATCAAGGGTGTAGGTTGTAGCTGTGTTGGTCTAAGGACATAGGCAGACAAGGTTCTTTGGGTAAATCTGATATCTTTTATTAGACCAACTTAAATAGTTGGCAGACAATTTTTAAGCAAGCTTTCGGGTTCAAAAACCCTTCGTCAGGCTCAGGAAGTATCAGCAGTTGGTGTGTGCTCTTCCTGGATGGAATGAAAAGTAAAGAAGCCAGAAGCTGGGCTGGTATGCATACAAGACAGGCGGTCAGTGAAGATGTAGACTGAGGAGTCAGTGGATGAGATACAGGCTGTTTGTGGGGAGAAGTGGGATGACTAGTGGAGAAGTACCTGGGGAGTCGGATGTCAGGCAGGTTATAATGTGTCATAAATCCAATGCTTATATTTAGTCCGTGATTTTTAGTATCCAGGAGGTTGATGAAGTGGAGTTCATAGGCTTGTCTCTGGGGAGTGGTTTGTAAATTTTCTTTGAGGATCAGGACTGAGAATAAAGGATATCAGATTCACCCAAAGAACCTTGTCTACTTAATCAAGTAACCTTTTCTTTTTATACACAGATGTAGCTACTGTAGGAGCATTTATTTTATATTAAAAGTGGCAATGCACACCAGATAGTTGTCAGTGTATACTATCTTTAGTTCATGGCTGTTCAATTTTTGAGTGACTGGGGCTGCAAGTATCCTGGCTGTATGCTGTGCACATGTCTTGTCACTTGAGCCCCACTGCACCACAGATGCAGACCTCAACCCCTGCTATGCTAGTGCCTCCTTCTGGTATTGCCATGTGCTGTGCAGGTCCACCACCCCATCCTTTCCACCTCAGCCCCACTGCATTGTCCAAGTGCCCTTGCCACCCTAAACCCTTCAGTCCTATGGGCATGCTGCCCCACTGCCCTCGGGGGTGAATGCAGTCAGTGGAAGCTGGAGGAGGAGGGGGAGCCCTGAGGCTCTGGTGGCAGCAGCAGAAGAATGTTAGAGCAAGTAGTGACCAGGTCCGGAATCTGGGGACCACATGCAGGCTGTCAGTGACAGTCCTGTTCCAGATAAAGAAAACCTTATTAGTAAAACAACTAGTTTTACTCAAAAACCAAGCAGAGGATTGAAGAGCAGTTTTTTTTGTTGACAGGGTATTGCTAAACTCATGCTATTGCCCCATAGTATTTAAGGATTTGGCTACCTCATAAATGTTGTCCTTACCTTTAATTTTATCTGTATATGCAGTAAATCTTTAAATTGAGTCACTCTCAGAATGTATGTTTAATTATCCATCTAATCTGTATTCTTATAAATTGAAAACATAGTATCAAAGAGGCTTCTCTGCACTGTTGTTACTTCATAGATGCTCTATTTTTTAAAATATTAATACCATAATGAGCAGGGATCCGGTTTTCCATTTGCCACAGGAAAACATGCATTTTCCTCCTTTAAAGGGAAGAAACATGGGACATGGCAGGGCCCAGGGGCCTGTGGGTTGGAAGTGAGGGGCACTGGCAGGGATGGGGGAGGGAGAGTGGGGGAGAGTATAGGTCTGGAGTGAGGGGCAGCAGCATGGGCAGGGCACTGGCATATCAAGGCTGCTTATCGCCACGAAGCAGTGTGGGGATAGCCACAGCTGGACCTGTGTCCTGGTGAGCAAAGGGGGCAGGGAGAGCTCTGATTTCCCATGAATAAAAAAAAAAAAAAAAAAAAAAAAAAATCAAATGCCAAAATAAATTGGTGTGTATTATAATATATATTATTATATTATTTCATTATAATATTTTATAATATTCTAATATAAAAGCCTATGTCTGTTCATAACATTTTATTTGCACTCTGATTGGTTGTCTTGGCAGGGAGGGGGAGGTGGTGGGAAAGATGGGAGGGAGGCAGGAAGGGGAGAGGAGTGCTACAGGTGGCAGTGCGTGGCTGCCCACCGCTGCGCCGTGGCTGCCCGCTGGCCCCGGCCACCTGCCAACCGCTGCCCACCGTCACCGCGTGCAAACTCCCCTCCTTGCCCCCCTGCTTCTGGGACGTGGTGCCGGCGGTGTGGAGTTGAACGGCGGGGGGGAGGGCCTGCACCCAAAGCAGCGAGGCGGGGAAATGAGCCCAGGCCTGAAGTGGCAGGTGGGGGAAGGGAGGGAGTGGATCCAGATTTGAGGTGGCAGAGGGCAAGAGCCAGACCCTGACCCAGAGCAGGGGGCAGGTGATGCAGACCTCTGTCTCTGCCTGCCCTCTCCGTGATATTTGGCTGGCAACTTGCTAGTGTGTATATGTACATGTATGTATGTGCGCATACATGCACACACAAGAAACCTATATATAGATCATGAAACCTAGTATGTAGTTAGATAGATAGATATGGTTTCATGATCTATATATAGGGTTTTTTTGTGTGTGTGTATACACATGCATACACCCATATTAACTTTGCTATCTTTGTGTACTTGAACTGTGGTGTGTGTGGGTTTTTTTCTTTATTTTGTTTTTTACTTTCCAACTAGAAGATCTACAGGAATTTCTGGTGCCAGCACAGCTTATTCTCAAGAAGAAACTCTTTCTCTCTCTGTTCTAAGAGAAGCCCAGAAACTTGCAACAACAGGTCTGAATTTGATGGCCATGGATGAAGGATCTTCTGAAGGAAATCTGGCAGAAAGTGAGAAAGGAGTGTTCTATCTCAAATGTATTAAAATCCCAGGAGCGGTGCATCTTCTGCCCTTAGTGGAACATTATGTTGATGCATACTGTCAGGCTGTACAAGTGGTAGACAAAACAGGAAACAGTCCTTGTAGAAACCAACCAATTTGTTCTTCCAGAACTAACACAAGCGTAGTATCAAGTACAGAGGACTTTAGATCTACTCTGGAAGAGATTACAATTACATCTTTAGGCATTCTTTATTACTTGGTATTCTATAGCTGGGATGTTGTATCTACATTGCTATTGCCTGAAGTGGAAAGAAAGGCACAAAAGTTAACTGGAGATTTACAAGATGCTGCTAATAAGAATCAATTCCAACATGCTTTATTTAAAAAGCTGCTTCAGGTTTTAGCTTTTTCATCTACAACAACAGGCTCCTGTGCTGAGAGGATTATGAATCAAAGCCTTAAGGTTTTGGTGAAACTAGCTGAAAATTCAACAATTGAGTTGCTAATAAGGTAAGACAGTAATGCCTCAAATGAATGTCATGCTTGCTGTTACCAAACAAGTACCATTATTCACTTCAAAAACTTAGTTCACAAACAAGTTTGTAATGCATAACTGAAAACATCAGAGATTTTTTTTTTCCCTTGTTGTTCATACCAGTGACTTGGCTGTTCATAAATGGTATAATTGCCTATCTTCAGTAAAACTAACTTGATTCTGCTAAGCTTCTGTTGCTGTCCATACAATAGGAATTTTCCCATTTACTACTGGGCAATGAGTAACTTTTTTTTCAGGCTCTTGCATATTTTGTTTAGACTGCCCCTAAAATGTGCAGTCTTATACTCATGGTTATTGGGTGACCAAGAATGTAGACACCATGCTGCTTGACAGGGTAAACAAAATGCTGTTGAGTTCACAAGCCTAATGGACATCTGAAAGATATCCACATGGCAAATGATTGCGCACACAGCAGTAGAATCCTTTAGAGCAGTGATTCTCAACCAGGGTGCCAAAGCATGCTGGGGTGCCTTTCAAGGGTGCCATAGGGTGCCACACTAATTAGCACTGTTAGATGTGCAAACATGATTCACGAGATCAATCCAGTGATTTTGAATAAGAACTGAAACATTGAGTGCTGACAGGCGCAAATAAAAAACAGCAAAACTAACATGATGCCTATTCTGGGCACGCACTGTTTGTTTGACCCAGCTCCCCAGCATCTAAAGCAAATTGAATTGGCTATTAGGTAAAGACATCAAAAAGCCCTGCTGAAGCACAAGATCTATACAGACATTGAGGAGCCAGCTCAAACTAAAGCAATGCCTTTTCTGGGCATGGGCTGCACTTGGTGTGAGAGTGGGCCAAGCTGAAAGTAAAGTGCTGGGGTTCTTCCCCCTGCTCCCTCCCATGTCTGTAAGCAGCCATTCTGACCTGTTGTGGTTTTTTGAGTTGTTTGCAAAAGAAAGATTACTCTCATTTTTCTGTAGTCCAAAAAAACCACCCTGAAAACGAAGATCTGGTATTCTCTGAAGAGTGCCTTGAGTCTAACAAGGGGTGCCTTGAGCCTTAAAAGGTTGAAAACCACTGATTTTAAAGGCTCTTTGAATTTGAGTGTAGTTCACAGGATATTTACTTTTGAATGTACTTTTTTTTTTCTTTGTGACAAACAATTTCTTTCTTTTTCTGCATGAGAGAATTGTTTAGACCTATTATGACCTGGTTAGAAAAAATGTATAGCATGTAAGAAAGACGTTCTGTCCAATTCTAATGATAGCTTTTAAAATTAAATCATAGTGAATAAAATGGTGACTTATTTCCAAAAGTCATCACACTTTCAATTTTTAACTCTGGTTTTCCTTCTAAAAGCTTTCACCGCTTACTGAATAGCCAGACGCTGCTTCACTGCATGTGTGCTGAGACCCCTCTACCTACTGTCTATTTAACTATTCGGCTGTTGGCTGTACTTGTTCATCACCCAAGGCTGGCTGCCCAACTCTGTTCTCACTCAGGTGAGAGAAATTCTTAAAAGTAATTCAGTTAATGAAGCATGTTTATATATGCTAGGCAGGATTAAGGCTGTTACAAAGAAATCTCACTCCAGTTATTAAACACACAACCCCCCCCCCCCCCCAAACTGCAGTATTAACAGGGAATCGGTCTTCTGATACTAGTCATCAGTGATCCAGGTCGCTGGATTAGCTCTGTCTTGCAGCATTCATTTGTAAAGTTTTAATACAGAAAGTAATCATGAGAAATCCCTATACAAAAGCTAACGTTGGGGGAGAAGGGGGATAAAATGACCTGAATAAGAATGTGCTGCATTTGAAAGTTTGTCTGAGTCTATCCCAGGGACAGGCAATTATCTCAGCCGGGGGGTGGCACTTAACAAGTTTTGGTGAGCTGTTGAGGGCTGCAAGGGTGTCCCCGCCCCTTGGTCGCCATCTTGGGACTAGAAGTCCCAGCACTGACCTCTGGCCTTTGGCACGAGAATTCCCTCCCCTTGCCCCTGGAAGTACTTCTTTTCGGAAAGGGGTTTACCATCTTGGAACCAGAAAAAAACCCCAAATTATATACTAAAAATCAAAGATCCATAATAATGTATTTTAATTTTTATTTTAAAAAATATTTTTGTCCTGCTTTGTGTATGTTTGCGCTGTGTGTATATATAGAAGTGATCCCATAATAGCTCAAGTGAAGTCTTACTCTTGTATATTTTGGGGTGTGTGGAAGAGTATGGGTGTGTGTGTGTGTGTGTGCATGTAGCAGTGAGTGGGGCTCCTCCCAGAGGCATGGAGGTGTGTGGGTGTGGGAGGGGTGCAGTGTTTATGGGGTGTGTGATTTGTGTTGGGGAGAGTGTGGTTGTGGGGGAGGGTTTGAGGATATGGTGGGATGTTCATGGGAGCCCTGGGTAGCTGCTGGAGCCCAGGCTGCTCCCAGCAGGGCTTGCAGCATCCTGGCTGCCTTCTGGGAGCAGCCTGGGCTCCTGGCTGGCAGCAGCTACCCAGAGCCAGGGCTGGCTGCAGCCAGGAGGCTGCGAACAGCTGTGCCAGGCTCCGGAGCTCAGGCATCAGCTCTGTACTGGTGCATGCACGCGCACCTCGGAGCGGGCAGTGGGGGAGGGGCCTGAGGCAGCGCAGCCACGATCTCTTCCCCCGTTCCCAGCACAGAGCTGGTGACTGGGCTCCACAGCTCTGGCATCAGGTCCATGCTGCGGTGACTCTGGAGCCCAGTCGCCAGCTCTGTGCCGGGAGTGGGGGAGAGACCGGGGTTGCGCTGCCTCAGGCCCCTCCCCCACTGCCCGCTCCAAGGCATGCGTGCACGCGCTGGTACGGTGCTGATGCCTGGGCTCTGGAGCCCAGCACAGCTGTTTGCAGCTTCCTGGCTACAGCTGGCCCCAGCTCTGGGTAGCTGCTGCCAGTCGGGAGCCTGGGCTACTCCCAGCAGGCAGCTGGGACACTGCAAGCCCTGCTGGGAGCAGCCCGGGCTTCGTCGCTGGCAGCAGCTACCCAGAGCCATGGCTGGCCGTGGCGTGCCAAGCAAATTGGCTTTGCGTGCCATGCTTGGCACGTGTGCCGGGGGTTGCTGACCCCTGATATAGACTTTGTTCTGCTGTTGCATAGGCACTCTCTCAGCTGGGGGTCACCCATAGGTTATCCTGTGGTCCAGAGTTCCTCTTTGTACTGTTCCCTAATGAAATAGGGAATTTTAACCACCAGGATATCTGTCTTACCTGTCTGTATCCGTCTTGAGCTAGTTCAGTTGGTTTTTGCAATGTTTGGACACTTAGCAATGCAAGATCACAGGCAGAGTCACAAGACTAATTCAGCATTTGTTATTAGTTATTTGTATCCTCTCCCCTACACTGGGCAGCCCAGAGGCGGCAGTAACTGAGCCACAGGCCAGTCCAGTGCAGTGCAGGCTCTGGGTGGCTACACAGAGAACTGTCCAGCAATGGTGAGGGGCCGCTTTTCCCCCCATGCTGAGCAACAGTTTCTGCCCAGCCGCCACCACTGATGCTGCTCAGCCTGGATGAGTGAGACTGGAGCAGGTGCTGGGGCCCCGGCTCAGCAGCTGTGAGGTGGGAGAGAAACTGCTGCTCAGTGCCAGGTAAAAACGGCCCCTCTTCCTCTTTACTACCAGCGCTTCCTGGCGTAGCCGCCCAGAGTCTGCATGGGGCTGCCCTGTGTCTGTTCTGCATTGCCACTGCTGCCCTGCCAGGCAGCCCAGAGGTGGTGGTGACGTGACATAAATGCAGGGCAGCCTGGCATGGACCTGTTCCACACTGCTGCTGCTGAGCCTGGGTGGGCAAGCTCAGAGCAGGCATGGGGCCTGGGGGGTCAGGGCTGTGCACGCTGGTCCCCGCCAGTATTGTGGTGCTGGGACCAATGGTGGTGGCAGCTGGAAGGAGCTGTCCCTGCCTGGGTTGCCTAGAAAGGCACTCCAGCTGTGGAGTCGCCCCAGCCCTGCTGTGCGCCCAGGTGGCGGCAGGATATGCCATGACCGGGCAGTGCCTCAGCCAGACGGGGCTGGACACAGCCCCTCTGGTGGCCGGATGCGGCCCGCAGGCCGTATTTGCCCATCCCTGGTCTATTCCAACTGTGCAGTTGGTCCAATAAAAGATTCTGCCCGCTACAAATCCTGCCTCTGGGGTGGGAAAGAATGGGACTGAACTGCAGAAATTAATCCCACTGTTAGGTATGTGGTCCCATTGGACCACAAATAACAAATAGAAGGACTTTCTGGCTAATTTGGTTTCCATCTGATAGCTATGTTGCAAGTATCAGGCCCCCAGAATCAGGTAACTATTGGAAATTACAACTTACAGAAACAGCTCAGTGGAGTATGTACTAAAATAATGTTTTTTCTCTAATGCTTCCTAAAAGTAGCAATAGCCTTGAAGTAAAATGCATGGATTTTTTTACCCTGATTAGTATTTAGCAGTGGACAAGACCAAAGGGCAACAAGAAAAAATAACAAACATTCTTAGCATGTCTCAAAATGAAACTGGTACTTAAACACAAACATTAGATGAATGTTAGATCTGGACGAAGATTTTTTTTTTTAGTCTTGGTACAGGTCTAAATAAATGTGAAGTAAAAACTTCAGTTACATCATGCAGTCCAGCTCTCTTTATCAAGAAATTGGAACTGTTTCTCCCAGATTTTGTGGTAGCTGGGTGGACTGCACTTAGATATGAGGGCACCTATACATGTGCCAGACATCTGCTCCGATGTGTCCTAATTAGCATGCATTGGAGCAAACTCAATTAATCAAGTCTGCGGGGGCATGCTAACTAGCATACTTCTGCAGCCCCTGCATTATGTGTATTTAGCACCCTGTGCTTCAAAATGATGGCAGGGGCACTTTTAACTAAAGCTCATTTAGTTAAAGTGCCTCCACTGCCATTTTGAAGTGCAGGATGCTGAATACATGCAATGCTGCTGGCACTTTTAATTAGAGTGGCTTTTGGAGCCATTACAGGGGTGTAGGTTGTAGTTGTGTTGGTCTAAGGACATTGATCCAAAGAACCTTGTCTACCTATCTGATATCTTTTATTACACCAACTCATATAGTTAGAAAAATTCTTCTTAGGAAGCTTTTGGGTTTAAAAACCCTTCGTCAGGCTGAGGAAGTATCTGCAATTGGTGTGTGCTGTTCCTGGTTGGAATGAATAGTAAAGAAGCCAGGGGCTTGTATGCATGCAAGAAAGCCAGTCAGTGAAGATGTAAATTGAGGAGTCAGTGAGTGAGAGACAGGCTGTGAGCGAGAGGATGAATGTTGGAGCTGTTATAATTAAAGCGCTATAATTAAAACGTTATAAATGATAATGTTGGAGCCATTATAATTAAAGTGCTTCCCCATCCCAGAGCATGTGTAAAGATGCCCACAGTGCTTTGTGTGGAGACAAGGGATAGTTTACTGCTGCTTTAACTGTTAAACTAGAAGAGGGTGGGGATGTGCTCCTCATAAAACTGAAGCAAGGACTGCCTTTGTTTCCCAAACATAGTATAGCTGTTTTAGTTATAAATTGCTCAGCAACTGCAAAATCAGAAAAATAGTAGCTTCCAAAGACTCTGAAAGTCCTTCTAAAATGAACATCCTCTGGAATAAGTATGGAATGTATTTATGTTTGTTTCTTCCTTGAGTAAATGTTGTATGTACTACAGACTAGAATTTTTTGTGCAGTAGTATCTATTGGATAGTGCTTACAGTATAATATTCTTGCGCTTCTACTCAGCACGCAGTGTGTAGCGTGGGGACCAGGGTTGGGCTATCCAACTTCAGGGTGGCCAGGGGCAATGCACTATGCAGCATCCCCCCCTCCCTCCATCACTGCACTGTGGCTATGCTCTGCACATTTCACTGCATGTCATCCCCCACTATGCGCACACACACAAACTGTGCAACAGATGCTCGCAAACTGAGCTGGACATCTCTGATGTATGCTAATCCAGAGCAAGGTTCAGTTCCTTGGTTCACCACAGACCCCTTGTATGATTTTGGCCAAGTCAGTCTCTCTGAGTCTCTCTATCTGTAAAGTGGGAATAATACCTCCAGAGGCTGCTAGAGCATGCTAATTAGCATGCTCCAGCAGGCTATTAATTGAGTCTGCTTCAATGTATGCTAATTAGCACACATTGCAGCATATGTCCAGAGCAGTGTGGGAGCATCTGTTGCATAATTTGAGTGGGAAGGGGGTGACATCATGCAGTGCAGTGTGCAGGGCACAGCCCTGGTAGGGGCAGGGGTGCTGCACAATGCATGGTCTCTGGCCACCCCAGAGTTGGATACCCCTACCCTGGTCCCCTTGAACTCCCTGGCCCTGGGCGCTCTCAGCCCAGCAGGCTGCATTGCAGAATCAGTTACAGGCTTGAGGGTAGGAAGCAGAAGGTGGAAGAGGGCCATGTCCAGCCCACAGACCCCCAGTTAGACAGCCCTGCTCTAGGGCAATTAACCAACAAACAGTGGAGCAAGGCTAACTGTCTCTCTCTCTCTTCATATTCTAGGCTGAGACCAAACTGCTAACAATGTCCTTTTTCTAGCTCTAAAGTTTGGAGACTGTCACAAAACTTTAATTGCATAAGTGTGTATGGCATGATAGCATGTAAATGCCTTTCAGTCTATCTTTATATTCCCCTAAGGGAGAGTGAAGTATTATCCCCACTTTACAGATAGAGAGACTCAGAGAGACTGACTTGCCCAGCGTCATACAAGAGGTCTGTGGTGAACCAAGGAACTGAACCTTGTATTAATGGATTAAATTTGAAATAAAAAATGAATAAAACTATCTTTCAGAAACCTGTCTACTTCTTGCACTGTACATGTATATTACTTCAAGACCAGATAAATCTGCATCTGAAATGCACTGGCTTCAGCTGGAGCAAGAGGTAAATAACAGGCTTTTTTTTTTTTTTTTTTTTTTTTTTTTTTTTAAACAAATGCTTGTTCCATCCCACTCCTGATAAGAATATGGCCAGTAATACCTCACAGTAAGCTTTCTTGCTGATTTTAGTTGTGGCACTGAATATATCTGTTGCATTAAGAGATTAATTTTTAGTTTTATGAGGTATCTAAAATGTTAAATGGGGCTGTAACTATTTCTAAAGTCATGCTCGTAGTCTTGTTGTAATACTAAGAAAGTATAAGACAACTATGTGCATTCAAGATCTTTATTTATTTTCAGACTAGGTAGAGAAATGAGGTGATTGTAGGTTTATTTTCTATTGATCTGAAATTGCTTGAGGAAAAAAGCCTTGCTCTTTCTCAGCATATATTGATGATTTTATTTCTACTAAGTTCTTCATTCTTTACTTTTCACTGTGTTGTGTGCATCGTTGATTACATTTTAATGTTATATGTCAGTGGTGCTCAACCTTTCAGCCCTGTGGGCCAGATGAGTGGCACAGAGCCAGTTCTTCAGCTGGATGGAGCTCTGAGTGCCAGGATCAGGCTCTGGATACCAGCACCACCCCTTTCCTGCCCCTGTGTACCAGGAGTCATCCCCAGGGGTCCTGGCACCATCCATTCATGCTGGGGTTGGGTCATGGGGCCCCAGCACTGCTCCTTTCCATCCCCATGTGCTGAGATTGGGCTCTGGCACCACCCCTTACTGCCTCTGTGTACTGGGATTGGGCTCTGCGGGCCTGGTACCACCTTGTCCTGTCCCCTCCACACCAGGATTGGGCCCTGGGGCCCAGTGTCCTCCTCTGAGCAGGCCTATGAACTGGGATTGGGTACCTGACCCAGGCCCTAAGGCTCCCCATGGGTATAGAAATTTGGCAACAGGCAAGAGGTGCCACTACTCTCCAGCTGCTAAATTTCCAGACCCGTGGGGAGTCCCGTAAGCCAGATGACAGTGCTGCAGGCCAGGGGTTGAACACTCCTATTAAATGTAATAGATTCAACCTGTGCCAATCACTAAATAAAAGTGAAACAAACCTATTCATAAGAGGCAAATTTTCAATTGTATTAAGTTGTCAGTGAGGACTGTACTGTTAGTGGTAGATCACTATATTGCCTAATGCGAGACGCAAGGCTTCCTTAGGGTGATCTCTTTTATTGGACCAACTGTGTAGTTGGGATTAGAGTTAGGCAAGCTTTTGAATGCAAGACGTTCTTAACTTGAGGAAGAATGTCTTGCATTCAAAAGCTTGTCTAACTATCCCAGCTCCATAGCTGGTCCAGTAAAAGAGATCACCCTAAGAAATCTTTGCCTCACATAATTACTGGACCCTCACAGCTACACCAATTCAATTCAGTTTCAATTTATTGAGGATTCTGGCTAAATGCCATGCTCCTGAAAACAACAAAGCACACACGCACACACAACCATAATATAAATAAGTTTGAACAAAGTAACCGAGCTACAAATATTATACTAAAAATAGAGCCCACTAACATAACATTATTAATATAAATATAGTAGTAAATCAAGACATGACTATAATATTGTTGTGCATAGATCCACAATTGAGACAATAAAATCAAATCTAATGTTAAAATATATCACTCATATCAGTAATAAAGGATATTTAACTCTAATCCCTCAGCCTTATAAGCAAAAATTGCAAGATGGTTTTCTAAATTTGGATCTGTTTGCTGTAAAAGCCAGATTAACTTCTCTCTTTTTGAAAAATGTATCCATTTCTGCAAGAACGGTAATAAATAGGTTCTTCTTATGTCATTATATAAAGAACATTCTAAAACATAGTGGATAATATCTACCAACACTGCTAGGCGGACTGGGCAACATCTTTTAGCCCTTAGAATAGAAAAATCTATGTCCAGCCAGAACAGCTGTGGGCATCTGTTCGGTCCTGAGTCTAGTCAAAGAGGATCGCCACTTATTATTGAGATCCAACTGTAAATACCTTTCTCCCCCACCCCGATCTAATTTCCAAAGAGTATATAAAGAGGCAATATGAGCAGCCCTAGCCACTGCAATATCATTCTGCCTGACAATATCTCTCATCCTCTGGAAAACCCAAACCTTTTCTATGGGGGAGAAAAATCTTTCATTATCTTTGAGATACTTTTGCACTTTCTGGGGTGGAATACTATGGTAAAGAAAAGGGTGATTGGAGAGGAGGGGGATTATTAATATCTTCTACATAGCATAATTTAAGCAGATGAGATGCTAAAAGGAGTAGGATTTTTAAACCAAAATCCTGCCATTCTAATAATAATATTAGTTAAAATAGAATCCATTCCCGTCTCTAATCTCAAAAAAGATGCAGGAATTGAGGGAGGAAGAGCCCTAAGAAACTTGTTCTGAGGTATGTCTCCTAGGGGTGTGCGAAATGGGCTGTATTTGATTCGGATTCGGCCTGAATTGGGGACACTGATTCGATTCGTTCATTTGGATCACTGTCCCTGATTCAATTCAGCTAAATCCGAATCTGAAGATTCGATGCTGATTTCGGAGAATCAGCGATTCGGACATAGACGTAGCTGTAAATGGGGGGTTTTTTCTACATACCTCAAGGTACCAGGTGCGGCTCGTGAATGCTGTGATGGTGGAGCGTCCCACAGGAGCGCAGGGGGGTGTGCTTGGTGGTGAACCCAGAAGTGGACCGGAAGCAGTTCTGGTCCACTTCCGGGTCTGCTGTTGAACGCGCTGGGGGGCCTCCCATGCCTGTCCGGCTTGGCAATCAGCCACAGGGGGACCCCGGGTGCTCCCCTCAGACCCAGGAGGCACCAGTTGCTGCACCAGGGGGCCCCCCAGCATGCTCCCTGGCAGATTCAGAAGTGTACCGCAAGTGCTTCAAGTCCACTTCCAGGTCTGCTGTTGAGTGCACTGGGGAGCCCCCCGTGCTCATGTGGGATGCTCCATCCGCACCACCATTGCAGCATTCACAAGCCGCCTGGTACCTTAAGGTATGTAGAAAAAACATTTAAAGCTGCATCTATATCCAAATTGTCAAATCTCTTCAAATTGATTCAGAGGGTTCCGATTTGATTTGGAGGGACTAAAGCAGGCTTGTCCAACATACGGCCCGTGGGCCACCGTGCGACCCGCCAAGCTGTTTTCTGTGGTCCACAGTGCTGTGACGGGAAACAAAGGTAAACACGGTTTACTTTTGTTTCCACCCTTTGTCCCTCCCCCAGCCCCTTGGCAGCTTCCTAATGGCTGCTGAAGGTCTGGGGAAGGGACAAGGTTCCCACACGCACCACGTCAGCTTGACATTGCCGATGCAGTGTGTGTGGGAAGAGGAGTAGCCATGTGCTGCTTGGGACAGGATGAGCCTGGCCAGAGCAGCAGGAGCTCAGCTGCGCTTTCCCCCTACCTGTGCCAGTCAGTCCCAAGTGGCACACGGCTCTGCTGCCGCTTCTGCTGGCCAGTGCAGACCCAGCTGTGCTCCTTCCGTCCCCAGTAGCTTGTGGGAAGCTGGCTTCATCTGCATGCTGCTCCAGATGGGATGGACCTAGCCGGGTCAGCACCGGCCAGGAAAAGCAGTATGCAGCTGAAGCTGGCTTCTCACATGCTGCTGGGGACGGGAGGAGCACGGCTGGGTCTGCACTGGCCAGCAGAAGCGGTGGTGGAGCCGTGTGCCTCTCGGGACTCACCGGCGCAGCCAGGGGGAAAATGCAGCTCAGCCTCTGCTGCTCTGGCCAGGCTCGTCCCATCCTGAGCGACACACGGCTCTGCCGTCGCTTCTGCTGGCCGGTGCAGACCCGGCTGGGCTCCTCCCATCCCCAGTAGCTCGTGAGAAGCTGGCTTCAGCTGCATGCTGCTCCAGATGGGACGGACCCAGCCTGGTCAGCACCGGCCAGGAAAAATGGCATGCAGCTGAAGCTGGCTTCCCATGTGCTGCTGGGGATGGGAGGAGCCCAGCCAGATCTGCACCAGCCAGCAGATTGGTATAATGTGACAAGCCTATGGCTGGGGAGGGGTCAGGCTCCCTAGATCTGAGACCTGATGTAGGCTATGGCACAAAGACTCACTCTGGAACAACATGCTAATAAACTTGTGTCTATACCTGCTAGGAACCCAAGTAACAGGTGGTTGATACCTGGTAAGCTCATGTGAGTAAAGATTGCTTATTGCTCTGTGTAGCCTTCAAAATGCTTTTATCCTACTAAAATATGCCATACTTTGCGAGAGTTATTGCCTCTTTATGAGAGAGCAGAATCATAGCCACTGAACTAAATTCATGCCCCGTGGGAATAATCACAATTCAGCAAAATGGGTGGGAAGGAAAAGCCAGAGTTCTAAGTGTGTACCCTAAAAGAGGCCATGAAAGTCAGAAGCACAACCTTAGAACCAGGACAGCTATCTGGTAACAGCAGTCCAGGAGGCATGATGGGAATCCTCTCCTCTCATGAAATTTAGGAAAGCAAGACGACATGAGAACAACATGTAGGCAGAGACTGGCTAGGGCCTTGGAGCCATGTTAATAAGTGAGGACAACTGTGTTCCCACTCTGGTCAGTGACTAATTGTGGGTACATCTTCATTAGTTCTAGGGTGGTCCAAGGACAGTAGAAGCAGATCACACACAGAGGGTGAGAGATGTTCCCAGAATGTCCTCACCACCACATTTCTTCTGAAAAGCAGGGATGTCCTGAGGTTCATTTAATGTTTGTAAAATGCTTGGAGAGCCCCACAGATGCACTGCATAGAAATGCAAAATATATTTTTACTTATTTGGATGGCACCTTGGGCTGAGATTTTCAAAGCTGAGTCAAAAGGCCAACTTCCATTAAAATGAAGGGATTTAGAGGGCTCCAAATCTTTTATGGCAACTTCATAACATGCCTATCTACCCCTTTTTGCAAATCTCAGGCATAGTTTGGAAGCTCAGCCAAAGAACATAAGAGCATAAAAAGTGCCATGCTTGGTCAGCCCAATGGTCCATCTAGCTCACCCGAACAGTGGCAGAGGTGGATGCTATAGAGGGAGAGTTTTGAACTGGTTAGACCCATTTCATTGTCACTTTCTGCAACTTCATTGATGTCAAAGGTCACATGACATCACTTCCTGATGTGATACTACTTCCTGTGAGGTCTTTGAATGTAGCTCGCTGGCGCACTGGGTGATAAAAAGTTCATGATCCGGCCCCACATTCAAAAAGGTTGGACACCCCTGGACTAAAGGGTCTTCTGATTTGATTCAGATTCAGCCACTGAATCGGGCCAAATCTCCACCAAATCGAATTGGAGACTGAAGCTTCTCAGATCCCTAACATCTACATCATTACTAGCAGCATAACCCCATGCTTCAGCGCCATTTAAGATCTGAGAGGTAACTTTGGCTTTATATGCTGATATAGGAGCTTGGACTGATTGTCCTGCTGTGGTTTCATAACCTTTCTTTGTAGCCACAGCCGATTGGGCTGCCTTAGTTTTAACTGCCTGAATATGATGTTTCCATGATGGAGAAGCTGTGAATAACACACCCAAGTACCTATAGGTTTCGACAACTTCAAGTTTAGTTCCCTGCATGTTCCATGGATCAAACAACTTCACCAATACATTATTTTGGATTTATCATAATTTATTTTTATACAGCTACATCATTACTCTTATGCTGCCATATAATGGCAAGTGTCATTTTTTCCCCGTGGTATAGTTACATTTTGGTATATATTTCAATGTACTAGTATTACTTCTGAGCCCTGTTCTAAAACTTTAGCATGTTCTTAAAATACTTTATTAAAGCTATAGTAACAGCTTTACAATATGAATTTACACGTAATTAGGGTTTGACTTTTGGACACTGAAGAAGATAAAATGACATCCGTACCCACAGCCCCACACACCCTTGTTGAGCTTTCTCTTCAGTTTGAGAGGTTTTCTTGGAAGCCACAAAGGGAAAAAAAAGGTCTAGCTGATGTCACAGTGGAAATTTATCATTAAAATGTAAAGACTGTTGGGGGAGAAAGCTAGAATCTTTAAAGCTAGCAATATAAGTGTCACTTCTTCCTTTTATTGCTAGTGTGATTGCTTGCTAAATCTACAGAATTCACTGTAATAAACTGTATGTTTTGCACTAGGCTGTTAGATTCCTGACCAAGTGCATGCGGTGCTCCAGTCCATCAGTGTTACTACTTGATACAGATTGCCAGTGCAGCCTTGAGGTATGTCCCTAGAGCTATCCAACTTAGCCTATTAAAGCTGTCCAATTCCATATAAGAATGGTAAACAGAAGGTAGGGCAGGGTGGCACTGTAGAGGCTTTCTGGTGTAGAAAGGTAGTTTTTCATAGGCAACAAGCTACTTCATCAAATGCTATCAATGGATGAATAAGGTTGTTGTCTGTGCAAGCTCATGTCTCTCTGAACCAGACAGTTTCTAAGTTGGTTATTCTCTCAATCTTTTTAGATTCAGGGCACCCCTCAGAAAATGCCAGCTCATAGTTTACACTCATTTTGACTATGGAAAAATAATCAAGCAGTTTTTGTTGTGAGGACCACAACAGGTCAGAAATGTTTTTGACATTAAGAATTTCTCTGTGGAAATCTCTAGGCTTATCCTGTTCATCATGTGCTAATATTTTGTGCCACCCTTAAAACAGAGCAGCGATTCTCAACTAGAGTGAAGTGAGACTAAGTACCATGTTGCCCTGCCTTCTGCCTGACTTCAGTCTAACATGGCTAACCACCTCTGCTCAGGGGAGTGTCAAGTAACATTCTGCCTTCAACTGCTGTGGTACAGTATAGTACCATGTTCTATCAAAGCTGCCTTCTAAAAGTCTTAACAGAGAGAGGCAGGCTTCCTTCCTATACATTGGAATTTGATTACTTGATATGTTTGACCACCAAAGGGCAAAACAAATAAGTCCTTTCCCCGACTAATGCTGTATCTTTTGCTCTTTGTTTTGACCCGTTTTCTTTTTTATTTCTCCTGCAGGTGGTTAAGGCACTTATCGTAATGTTACATAGACAGTGGGTGAAGGTTAGAAGATCTGAGAGCAATTTTCATATGTATAAAGAACAAATTGTTCAGTTTTTGCGGGACACAGTTTTGCTCTTGCATAGTCTTTCTCAAAAAGATAAACGGTTTCAGGAACACTTCTTGGAAGTTCTCCATCAGTATGATCAAGCCATACCTGGTGTAAGAGCCATCCTGAAAAAATCTCAAAAATTGAATGTCTTTGAAGGTAAACTAATGAATGAACTAAATAAAGCAATAAATGACTTATTTTTCCTCCCTTTAACAACCCTTCATAGATGTTTGCTGCTTTGGGTGGGTTTCAATAGGTAGTCTAACTATTGACTTTCCTCCAGAAGACTGCCTGTCTGAAAATGTGTCTTACTGGTAATATACAGACTTCTGCATTTAAAGATGTAGTTCTAAGAATCTGTCCCAGAGCAGGCAACAGATAATGCTGTTGTAATTCCTGTGTACATGTGGCATTTCATAAATGCGTTTGCTATTTTTTTTTTTTAACTATTGAAAGAACAAACCCACTAATTGCCATTTAAGTGGTAACTTGACTAGTTGTCTAATTTATTCTGTCTTGACTGAATTTTATAAAACACTCCATTTAGTCAGAGTCATGGGAAATAAATTGTCCCAGCCTGAATTATATTTGCATGAGCATGCCGTTTGGTTGTGTCCCATGTTATGATAGAAATGCTGACATTACTCTACTCTTACGTATAATGGCATGGTACGTAATCTGAGGCTGTATGTCAAATTACTTCTAGCCTTGGCTATAGCCTACTCTGTGGATCTTGCACCACTGCCTTTTCTTGTACCTAAGGCAGAAGAACATGCAAGGATTCCTAATGCGAATAATGAAGATTCTCTTGGCATTGCTATAAATGCCAGTTGATTTCCTTCCTTGTGTAGTGCGTCTCCACTAGCCTACAAGGGCAAAGTGCTGAGGTTCTTTCTTGATTCCCATGCAAAACTTAAGCAGCCTCTATACTGAAATGATTGTAGCTTTTTAAAACTACTTTTCAATTGATGTATTTAAGCTTGGTGAACAATCAAAACTAGTCTTAAAATACTAGGTACTATAAATACATCATACCATCAGCTGCTAACATTTGGAAATATATCACTAAACTTGGAAAGACTTTCAGAACAGTTCTTCCCTCAAGTTGGGTTCCCAAATTAAATATTTTAATGACTTAAATTTTTAGGCCAAATGTGTTTTAATGAAATACTTTGACACTCCGAAAGTAATAATCATTATTCTCATCATCATTTTTTATCTTGGATGCTGATTATTGCCTTTAGCAAGTTAGGCTCATACTTGTAGTGTTAAGTAGAGGTACATCGTTATAGCAGTCCATATTGTATCGGCACCGATAAAAGGAAAATTGACATGATCAGCAACCGGCTTTTTTTGGCTGGTGTAGCTGGTAATGTCACCAATAGATGCCACGTGCATATGCACAGATGCAGTCTTCACGCGGCCAGGAATGTAGCCTGGCAGCTTAGAGAGCAGCCTCCTGCTGGTAAATTGGGGGGCCAGGGGGAAGAGGCGTGGAGAGGGCAGATTGAGGCCCCCATGGTGAGGGAGGGAAGGGAGCTGGGGCTGGGGCAGGGGCTGCCCAGCTGGGGTGAGATGCGGCATGGAGCCATGGGAGGCTCATTCAGGGAAGTGGGGAGGAGGGCAGCTCCCCACTGCTGCATGCACCCCCAGGGAGGCATCTGGGGCAGGGGCTGCCCAGCTGGGGTGAGATGCGGCATGGAGCCATGGGAGGCTCATTCAGGGAAGTGGGGAGGAGGGCAGCTCCCCACTGCTGCATGCACCCCCAGGGAGGCATGGAGGCATGTGCCCCCCAGATTTGTGTGTGGGGTGAGGGCAGCCTGCCTGCTGTGGGCTCGGGGCCAGGGGCTGTACCAGCCTTTTCCCAGCTGGGGGGCTGGGCTGGGGCTGTGCTTGGGACATGCAGCAGGGGGGCTGCGGGGTGGCTACAGTGAATTTCAGGATGGCTGTAGCCCACCCCGTAACTCCCACTCCCAGCACAGCCCCAGCCCAGACCTCCCACCAGAAACAGGCTGGCTCGCCCACAGTCCTGAGCCCACAGCAGGCAGCCTGCCCTTGCCTCATACACAAATCTGGGGGGCACATGCTCCCCCGTGCCTTCCCCCAGGGGTGCATGCAATGGTGGGGAATTGCCGCTCTGTCCCATGCCCGCCCTGGCTGCGCAGCCCCACTCCCTCCCTCACCAGGAGGACCTCAGTCTCTGCCCCCCACCACGTCCCTTCCCCCTCACTGACTTACTGGCCAGACGCTGCTCTCCAAGCTGCAGGGCTGCATATCGGCAGTCAGATCAGCATTGGCCAATATGGCTGGTTAATAATCAGCCATTGGTATCAGCCAAAAATATCTTTATAGGTGCACCCTTGTGTTAAGAAACATTAATTTATCATATTTTAGTCAGAAAATCATGAGTGACTGGTGCCTCCTGAATCTGCGGGGGCACCCGCAGAAGCCAATGGCAGTGGTGGCCCTGTTAGGGGCACCAGCCCTACCAACAGCATCAGTGTCAGCTGTCGGGGGGGCACCGTCCCCATCAGGGGGCACGTGCACCCCTGTGCACCCCCTACCAGTTACCTATGCAGAAAATCAAATGTTGGAAGAATATTTGTCTTGTGTTTATAGTAAAAGCTTTTCATCTGTTCTTTCAGAGATGGCTTTGGATGAATTGTATCCTCCGGAGACAGAAGCAGATGCTCCAGAAATAGAGGCAAGTTAGTTGCCATAGGGCCATATCTTGTTCCATATGAATTTTTGTTGTTTAGCTTTGTTACCAATGGGAAATTGGAAATCAACCTGAACAAAACCTATTTGTATGTCTTTAAAGATCACTGGATGTAATGTAATACAGATATAGAACTTTGAGTGCTTTGACTATTTTTTTCATTTAGCTGCCACCATAGAACATGGGTGGGCAGTTATTTCAGTTGGTGGGCCACTTAATGAATTTGAGCTGTGGTCGAGGGCTGCACACAGTATCTTTCAGCAGATATCTTTTTAACAAAGTATAGATTTAAAAAAAATCATATACTGAAAATCAAACATCTGCTATAGCATTTTAATTTTATTTCAAAAAAATATTTTTTGTCCTGATTTTGTTTGTTCAAGCAGCGTATATAGAGGTGATTCTTTAATAGCTCAAAATAAAGTCTTACTCTTGTATGATGGGGGCAGAGGCCATAGCAGGGTTGGGGCTGTATGTGTGCACGTGTGGAGGGGTGGGGGTGTCCAGCAGGTATTGGGGGTATGGGTATGCATAGGTGTGGCATGGGTGGGGGTGGTTGTGCATGCGTTTGGGGGGCTGGCTGCACACTAGGTCCTCGGAGGTAGCTGAGGTGTGGGGAGATAGGTGGGGGTGGGAGGGGTGCATGCAGCAGAGCTCACCCTGATCTGGCCCACAGCTGCCCCCGCAGTGCTCCACTTGGGTTTGAGCCCCGCCTGGGGCAGCTTGCACTGTGTTTCTACTTGCACCTGCCTCGTCTGTCGAGGGCCCTGGCCAGTGCGCACAACTTCCTGATGGGGCTGCTGCAGGTGCTGCTCTGCTATTGCTTGGCTCCCCTTGTTTCCAGTGGCTCCTCCTTCTGTCCCTGTTGTGCTGACCTGGCAGAGCCGTCCCTTGGGAGGGGAGGTGGGGTGTAAATTGGGGTGAATGGCCCAGGCCCTGCGCTTTGTGGGGCCCCCACAGATAGTACTGTACAGGCCCTGTGGACAGTGCCATTGGCACGTGCCAAAGGTGCCACCATTCTGTGCAGCGGCTGCTTGCCACCCCCATCCCAGTCTGCGCCTTGGCCACTTACCATCCTTCTCCTCCTCCTTCCCCCCCCCGTGATATGCCCCAGGCCCTGCATGCCCCTAGGGTCGGCTCTGCGCTCTGGCCACTTTCCACCCACTCAGCCACTTGCAGGTGGCTGCTCATCAAGCTGGGCAGGTGGAGTGGGTAGAAGGCAGCTAGGAGCTGGGCCCCAAGTGCTGGGCCAGGAGCTACCCAGCTGTAGCTCTTCTCTCCCCCTCTTCCTTCTCCCCTCCCCCACCAGCTGGGTGTAGGGTACCTGGCACTTGTCCTCATGGCCGGTGCCACTTGCCCATGCTACCTGCTGCCCAGAGCAGCACAGCAGGGCCGGAAGGAGTCACTGGGGTGTAGGGGGCTGAGCAATACCTGGTTGGCAGCAGCAGCAGGTGGAGCAGCCCTGCTGGGATGGTGCCATCGGCAGGTGCATGGCATGAGTGGGCACTGCCACAGGCTGGCTCTGGCCTGTGGACTGTATTTTGCCCACCCCTGTGATAGAAATGTAGCAGAAGGAAATATTTTATTAATTGTTCCATAGAAGGAAGAGCTTGTTTTCTGTACCTTCCCCTGTGCAAAAACACTTTCAGTAACAGATGTGACTGCATGGCACTTCTAGGAAGGGGAAATGCATGATTTATTTTTCCCTGTGGTGGAAGCCTTCGCATGCTCCCTGGCCAGACTTTACCATGAATGAAAGATTTGTTTTTAAAGTAGTGCTGATGTGTACGGTTTCATGCCAGTGTGTTCACACACACCCAGAAGGGGGAGATTCAAATATCATTTTGTTACCACCTGTGAAGCAAACCCTCAGCCAAGCTGCTACTCTGGCTCCCTGTGCAGGCCAGCAGCACACAGGCTTGTTACAGTTTTAAGACATAAGTGCGGAGCAGCCCCCACCCTGTCAGGGACAGAATTCTCCTGCAAATTGGGAGAATCTATAATAAAAAAATAAAAGCAGTTACATCAACAAGTATGATTTGGGGAAGAGTCAGCATGGGTTCTGTAAAGGAAAGACCTGCCTCACCAATCTGCTAGAGTTCTTTGAGGGTGTTAACAACTATGTGGCTAAGGGGGATCCAGTTGGCCATATATGGATTTTCAATAAGCTTTCAACAATGTTCCTTACCAAAGGCTTTTCAAAGAAACTGAGTTGCCATAGTTCATTTGGAACAGAAGAGTGCTCATGTAGAAGGATTTTAGTAGTAGAACTATTGACTGTGTTTAAAAAGACAAATCACTAGGGGTGTGACGATAGAGATTTCGGGGGCCGATACCGATAGCCAATTTTTAAGGAGGTATATTGGCCAATACTGATCTGATACAGCCGCATCCAGCTGGTAAATCTGTTGTGGTGGAAGGGGATGGGGGAGGGAAGGGGCGTGTAGGGGCAGATTAACACCCTCTAAGGTGAGGGAGGGAGTGGGGCTGAGGTAGGCACTGCCCAGCTGGGGTGGGGCGCGGGACAGAGCCATGGCTCATCCAGGGGGTGTGGGGAGGGGGAGCAGCTCCTGCCACTGTGTACCCCCTGGGAGGGCATGGCAGGGGTGTCCCCAGATCTGCGTGGGGTGGGGCTGGGCAGGGCTGCAGCTGCAGGCTGGGGCCAGGATGACTCTGGGCTCTTCCTGGGGGGAGCTGGGCCACGCTGCACTCGGGGCGGGTGGTGGCAGTGCTAGGAGGGGAGCTATGGGGGCTGCATCTTAGAGGGGAGGAGCTTAGACTGTAATTAGTTCATGTTATCCTGAGGTATATAACTAGTAAGGCTGTGCAAAATTTCACTGTCTGTTTCGTTTTGATGCTGTTTCGACTCTTTTCAAGCTCGAAGTGAAATCAAAACAAAACAAAGGACTTCAAAACAGCCTCGAAACGAAATGAGGGCAGTCGAAACTCTTCAAAAGTTTCAAAACATTTCGAGGTGCAATATAGAAGTTCACATTATTCCTGCCTGTTTTGTCTGTTTTCTGGTTGGAGTCTTCAGTCTCTACTGTCAGCAACCATAAGCATTATATTCAGGTATAAGATGGCCAAAAATAAAAATGATCAAATACACTTATACACATTGGAGAAACTAGAATCTTGGCAGAAGTTTCTAATTAAATTTTAAAATGCATTTTATGAAGGTAAAATTGATACAGTATACTTCATACATTTGCATTTATTACAAAGAGGTACACAGACTATATGCCTGGTTTGTTTGGTTTTTTTGGAAACTTGTCAAGTTCAAATACAAACAATTTACAAAGCAAGGTTATAGTAAGTGAGAGAGACCAGGATTACCAGGTAAATATAATACAACATAGAATAGTCACTACACTTAATTGAGTAGACATTTCTAAAATAAAGGCACTTACAGAATTAAAAAACCATTAATTTCTACAACATTTTGAACCTTAAACCAATCTTCCAATTTTCTAACGCCACAAACAGTATTTAGTTTGACATTGCATAAGCTGTGTTGGCTGATAGATTCAGTACATAACATGTATAAATACATAAAATAAGACTTCCTATGCCAGTTTAACTTTGCTATACATGAAAACAGATTTTGCTAGAATTGCATAGGAATAACAACAAAATTTGGTCCTGTTTTATAAGTCTGCTAATGACATCTTTATTATATGCTACTGACAAGAAAGATTCGGCTAAGTGGAAAACATACAGATGTGCACCCATTTTGTCCTTCACCTTTCCAAGACCAGCAGCTAATATATTAAGTAAACCTTCTGTCATTACAAACATAGCTTCCACTAATATGCGCACAGGAAGGCAGAGGTGTCAAACTCATCCAGCTTAAGGATCTCTGAAGCTGTAAGCTGGATCTCTGTCTGTAAGCTGGATCCAGCTGCACCACAGCCAGTGGGCAGAGGCAGTCCTGTGGGGTGCCACATGCAGCGCACTGCTCATGCTAGCCCCTGGTGCCACAGGAAGTGTGTGCCAGCCCTGCTCTGGGGCTTGTGCTGCAGGTGGTATACATGCTAAACCAGTGCCACAAGCACTGCCTATGGCCCAGGGGGCTAGTATAGTGTATGCAGGGCTGCGCCAGACTGGCCTAAAGCATTGGCTCTGAGAACTGGTCAAGATTGGGCTGCAGGCCATATGTGTGCACCAGGGCCATCACACAGGGATGTCCTATGGGGCGCTGCATGCAACCCATGCCCCATGTTGGCTCCCTGGGCCATGGGCTTTGCAGCACCAAGTCCAACCCAAATGCTGCAGGTAGCACAAGTCCCAGAGTGGGGGCAGTGTGTGGTGCAGTTGGCTCATGGGCAGGGTCTGGCACCACAGGCTCTGCTTGCAGCATGGGGCTGGCTTGGAGCACGTGCTGCATGTGGTCCTGCTGGACTGCTCTGAGCAATGGCTCTGGCATAGCCTGATCCAGACCAGCTCTGGAGTGGGCACTGCATACAGCTCGCACCCCCTGTGCTGCAAGCAGTGCACATGGAACTGGGTCCAGCTTGCCCACTGGAGTGGCTCTGCATGCCACAGGTTCATGTGGTTCCATGGGCTGGATGTAGCCTGCAGACCTTTGTTTGACTCCCTTACAGCCTGACTTATCCCATTCCTAACCAAGTGACGGAACTGTCCTTATAAGATGGCATGTCCCTCAGCCACCTCTTTGAACATCCAGCATATGTTATTTGGCCCACATCTACTCTGAAACGAAAACAGGTTTTGATATTAACTTTCCTTCTCCATTGTCATTATATGGACCTGTTTCTCAGAGCTAAGATCTGTAGGTTACAGAGGAAGGATGCATGCCTGCATCTTAGGCCAAGCTCTCCCCTTGAGCCTGCAAGAGGAGGATTTATGTCAAAATGCATTACCCTGATGATACTACAAAAAGAAGTGTTATCATCACTCTGAGTATAGGAAGAGTCACAAGTGCAGAGCCACAGCCTTGTAATCATATTGAGCCATTCAATTACAAAAACTTCTAGTCCAACTCTGAAATCAGGGCATCCACGTTGAGTGGCTGCACCTTTCTGGTTAGATTCTATCTTGGCAGTTGTCCAATCTCGTTGCTTTAATGGTCTGAGTCCCCCCTGCTGTGTGTGGACTCCTAAGCCACTCCTATTGTGAATGGCTAGAAGCCACACTGAATGAATTAGAAATATTGCAGAATTATTCTGTAATGGTTTCTGCTCTAAAATGTGCAGGATTTCTAGGGAGGTATATCCATGTTCAGTAGGAACTGTCTCCTTATCAGGTGTTCCCACATAACCCTAAGAGAACAGTATTTGCAGTCAAGCGCTACAGAATCTCCTGGTTGCAGGGTAAAGAGAAAGCATCATGCCTAGTGTACCCCATTTCTGCTCTGTGAATTTTTCTTGGCACATTATTTTTTTTTTTTTTTACTCAACACTTGCTCTCTGTGGTCCTGTGCAACAAGAAAGGTGCACAGAGCCTCATGATATAGCATGAGGACATGGGCAGCTACATAAAAAAACCACCAGAAACAGACTTGACTGCATTTTAGTTTCAGACAGCGGTAATAGAAATTGTCATCTAAAAAAAAAAGCTGTTCTGGACAGTGACAGTTTCCATTATGATAACCCTCTACAGAGATGCGAGGCAAATACTGCTATTAGTGAAAGAATAAATTCTTTACAAACAATTTTTTTAACATTCTAAATATAAGACCCCAAAAGAAGTGGCTTGTAAACCTCTGGACAAGTGAAACCAGAATGAGAGCAACATTTCTGAAATATGTCACTAGTTACAGTACGCTGATTAAAATAATATTTAACCGATAGCTTCACTGAGGAACAATATGTCTTATTTCAATGGTTGTGTAAAGTTTTTAAAATTTAGTTATGGAGTACATTTAAAGCAGAAAGGTCAGTACTATATTTGGCTGTAGAGAAATGAAAAGTATTGTAGTCCCTAGTCAAATTTGGTGGTTCATACAGATATTTTAACAAAAAAAATTCCAGTCCTTTCCCTAGACATGTGCAACTGCCAGTTATATCAAATCTTGCAATTTTAGGGCCAAATCCTGTCACCTTTTAATTATCCAAATTCTGATTCAACAGTCAATTAATTTTGCTGTCCATTTAATCTCCTATACAGCCAGTTGAGATTTCTTGTTTCTCCACTATTATGTTTCAACTCAAAATTTATTTTTAACGAAAGATGCATCTTCCTTCTAGAATAGTTTATCTTAACTGTAGGGAAGAATGAAGACGTAAAGTCTGTGTCTTGACTTCTGGCAAGAGAGATGCATCTTCCTATATCTTATAAATTTAATTATTTCCCATGTAAATGAGCAGGACTTAATATTGCCTCTGGCTGATCTTGTTAAAGATAGATTAAAGAAATGCACTGTGCTCCTTTACAGGTCAAATGTATCATTTGGTCATAGTGAATTTTTTTCCAGTAGCAGCTGAAGATCATAAACTGCAGTGGTAAAGCAAATAAATTCCCATCTAATTATTCTCATGCAGCATCTGTAGATTTTCAGCTTCCGATATGCTTATTTTATTCTATAGAGGTTTTTTTTTTTTGACTAGGGAGATCAATGAATTAAACAAATGGAGTGAACAGTCACCTACTAAGTTTTCATGCTTTAAACTTTAAAAATGGAAAGGAAAACAAGGAATTGATCAGCCCATGTTCCATTATGCCATGTTGTGCCAACTATATTCCAGAAAAATAAATTCTCCTCCTTTTACTTAAGTGTAGTAACTTGAAAACAGGCAGATTGCTTAACAGCCAGGAAACTTCATTAAAATTCACTTATTGTAATAGGATGCAAATAATGATAAAGCTCTGATTGCTCACTACTAATTATCTTATTTTTGAGTAGCCCCTTCTAACATACTTAAAAATTATTGCACAACAAACATCATTGTGGTTCTCATGGTTGAAGTACTCCTTCCTGCTTTTCTAAATTTTGAACAAGTTCTGTTGTTTTTTCTTGAGGTATAAACGAATAACTTCAAGTGAGGATTGCTTTCTTGCTGCATTTGATATAGTTTTAAAAAACAGGTATAGATTTAGATAGCCTCTTTAGTAAGACAAAGGGCTGCTGCTGAATGTTACCAAAATTTGCTATAGCTGTATGCCACAGACAGCACAAATTAGATTTAAAAAAAGAGGAAGTTTTGCAAGCAGGTACATAAGAGCAGATCCATTCAGTAGGTAGGCTTTTGAAGATCCACATAAGCAGGATTGTAAGGGGGCTGACTGACGGGGTAGGGTGCTCCAGCACCAGCTGCAAAAAAGAGGAAAGTACTATTAGAATGCATATTTATGTTCATCCAGGAAGAGCACACACCAACTGCTGAAACTTCCTTAGCCTGACGAAGGATTTTTGAACCTGAAAGCTTGCTTAATAACTATTCTCCAACTATTTGGGTTGGTCTAATAAAAGATATCAAATTCACCCAAGGATCCTTGTCTATTTATGTTTGGAAGTTTGTGTGTGCCTTATGCTAGTTTCAAATGCATGTTTCAGAGGTTCAGCTTGTTTTGCATTTTAATTGTCAGAAAATAATTTACTAGTGGTAACTGAGGACACATTCATACTTCACAGATTTGAGCATGGAAGCTTTTTGAAGTGGTCTGTATATCCATTACAGCACTAAGCATATTTTTTGCTGCTTAAGTAATATTCTCTTTCCCACAGACTGCCGCCCATATTAGAAGGTTGCGTATCAAAACAGCTCATCCAGTAGGGAGCAGTGGGACATGCTTGAAAGGTCAGGTAAAATTATTAATTTGAAGATAAGTGAAAATAAACTTTTGGATGAAAGACAAGAAAGAACTTAAGGAAACCTCTCAGTAGAAAAGTAAGATTACTTGGGAGATGCTCCCTGAGAACCTTATTAATTTACCATTTAAAAAGGAATTTTAAGACAACAGTGCCAACTTAGTACCATCAAGAACATGGAATAGTTTATAATACATGGATCTGTGGGACAAATGGTTGCCTGTAAATGCAAGAAACGACACATTGGCCAGGGAGTCCTCTTCCAGTCCCCCATTCCTGTGTTTTGACTCCCTGGCCAATGTGTTGTTTCTTGCATTTACAGGCAACCATTTGTCCCACAGATCCATACAGTTATCCTCTACAACCCCTCTGTCTATGCCTGTTGCACCCAAGTGTTTTACACGTTAAATTCAAATGCCCTTTAAAAAAAAAAATCCTTCATTTCCTATTCACCAGGAAATTTTGGGGGGGTGATATTATTTAAAGCTACATAAAAATGAGCATTATGTTTTACTCTTAAAGTTCTGAGGTCCATAGCTGTTTTAATATCTTCCAAACATAGTTTCCACAGTTATGGGTAAGTTGCTGAGTAAGGTGTCCCTCTTGCACTTGTAATATACCCCGATGGCTGATGGCTAACAGCTGCATTATTCCAGTGAAATGTAGCTGTCGTGAGAAATCATGACTGTTACTGTATACAGTTATCTTGTAGTACCCCAATCTTCTCTTGCTATGATTTCACAAATCCCTTCATTACAAGCCTTCTTAAATCGGGGGGGAGGGGCAGATCCAGGATTTCCCAAAGGAGTGGGGGGGAGGAAGCATAACCTACACAGCAAGGTTGGCTGCAACCCTTGCTCCCAGCCTCCTCTGCCCCCATCAGTGGGGGCAGACCATGCAGTGGAAGCTTCTGGGGACTTTAAGTCCCTAAAGCAGGTGAAAATCTCCCCTCCCATTTCCAACTGCTGTGGCTGCTTTACCCACAATCCTGGAAGCAGGGCAAGCATCAGAGTGGGGGGCTAGGAACAGCAGTTTGGAGAATAGGTCCCCTTTACTGCCCAATCCTCTGGGAGCAGGCACAGGGAAGGGGACCCCCCCCCAATATTTCTGCTGCCTCTGTCCCCATCCCCAGCTGAGCCCAACCCCTAGCAGCCCAGCTGGGGTAGGCAAAAGTGGCTCTGGTGCTTCCCTCACTCCAGGACGATGGAGAAAGCAACAGCCACAGATTGGGGGGTGGGAAGAGGAGAAGAGATGCCTCTAGCATGGAGGGGAAGAGTGGAGGGACTGTCACTTGCTTTAGGGGAGTGGTCACCAACCAGTTGATCTTGACTGACTGGTTGATCGTGAAGCCTCTGACAGCAGATCTCAGTCTGTCAGAGGCTCCATGATGGGGAGTGGCAGGACGCACATGGCTGGGCTGAGCTACACTTCCTGCTGGGCTGGGCTGGGTGAGTGGGGTCAGAGCCTGGGCAGCTTGTCTGGGAGGCAGGGGGGCAGGGTAGGTGGGGGGGGGCAGTAGATCTTGGGGTGCCAAAAAGTGATCTTCACCATAAAAAGGTTGGAGGCCACTGCTTTAGGGACTTGGAAAAAGTCCTTGGAGGCTCCTGTGGTACACTCCTGGATCTGGCCTTGCTTAAATCTCATTTTATGTAGAATTCTGCTATCTATTTCAGCCTAAGTGCAGTAGTGCAAGTGTATCATCCTAGCCCTTAAATTCCACTGGAACCAATTTTTTTCTGCCCCAGTTAAAGGCTGCCTCCCATTAGAAACAGTTGAGTTCACTGCATACCAGCATTAAGTTCCAACACAACAATTTATTCTCCTTTGTCTATACTTTGTGGAACTTCTCTCTCTGACATTTAATAAATTTGAAGCTGTAATCTACAGTCAAACCCTCAAATCCCAACACATCTACTGTGAGAATACTCACAACACTTACCTTGCCAGCCTGAAATCTGCCTTTATACAAGATGACCTGAAGAAGAATGTCTTGCATTCAGAAATTCATCTAACTTTATCCCAACTATAAAGCTGGTTCAATTAAGATATCATGCTAAGAAATCCTTGCCTCACATAATTTCTAACTCTCACGGCTACATCATCCTAATACCACTTTATAAAAACAAGGACACTTCAGCAGAGAGATAGTCTGTATCTTTGAAAGAGCCACACAAATAACCCAAAGTAACCTTCTGAAAACAAAAAGAAACCCCCTGTGACTGCACACTGTGGGTATTCACATACTGCCCCAGACCTGAGCCGATAGGAGTCATCATAAACACTTACAGCCTATACTTGATAAAGATCAAGCCTTGAGGGAAATATTCCCACCCTTGACTTATCAACAGAGGCAAAACTGTCAGCACATCTCCAATGCTACAATAATCAGCACCACCCACAACAAATTAATCAGAATCCATGGATCCTATACATGCCTATCCTAAAGTGTCATATGTCTCATTTGGTGCACAAAATGCCCTCATGGAAGCTATGTGGGTGAAACTAGACTAAAAGTATACACCAGAATGAATGATCACAGGAAAAAGACAGACACAGAAACCTGTTTAGGAGAGCACTTTTCACAGAACAACTACTGACTTTCTGATTTCACTACGCTTACGCTCAAGGGAAATTTACATAATAACTTCAAAAGATGGGCTTTGGAGCAAAAATTCATAAGCTAGCAGGACACTAAGAACAAAGGACTGAACACCAATATTGACTTCATGGCACACTACAATCTATCTGACTCCAGATACATTTTTCCTCACACAAGGGATAATGACTCACTTCCCTTTTGAAAAGACTTGATCTTCCGTTAACCAAGCTATCCTTTCTTCTGTGATTTTCTTGTTGGCAACCCCTGGGATTCCCTCTCGTCTCTAATTTCACAGTCCTGCAGCCTGTTTCTAACAACCGCGTATGCTTTTTCTTCAGACCTGAAGAAGAATGCATTTCATTTAAAAGCCTGTCTAAGTCTATCCTAACCATTCAGTTATTCCAGTAAAAATGGACGGTTTAAAGGTGGCGGTGGTGGGTGTGTGGGCATGCTGATGTGTGGTGTGGTCTTTGTAACGGGACTAAGAATGGCGTAACTGTAAAAGTGTGTTTTGGATTGTCAAGTGAACCACAGCAGTCACAAGGTAGTTTGTTAGAGGTACCGTTTTACACACACACACACACACACACACAGAAATTAATATTATTGCAAAAAAAAAAAAGTACAGAAGTAGGTACAAAATACTTACCTAGTAAGGGAGATGCCATGATCTCCACCATGGTATAGGCAAAATTGGTCCAGGTGGATTTGCTGTACCCAGAAAGGGAGATTCCCTTCTCCCTGACCTTGAATAGCATTGTGTAGTTGAGAGTGGAGACTTGTCCATTGCACTGTGAGCAAGCACCCTTATGAGAATATACTATAGACTCCTAATGGAAGGATCTTGGCTACACACTTTTTTTTTGTAGAGATGAGGGATTTCTCCCTAGCTTGCAACTTCGGACTTTTGGCTAAGAGCAAGCAAGACTTGGGGGCATCTGAACCCCAAGACATCCAGGCTTGGGGCTTGCATGTAAGATGCCATGGATGTGGTAGTATCTGAAGCACCAGCTGAGGAGTCTGGGAGGCAGGATACTTGCTGGTGATAACACTCTGTGGACTTGAACAACTGAGGCCTGCTCAGTGGATGGAATTTGGAATTGATTTGACTAATTTAGCGTGAGAAACAAAAATAGGTACAAAAATGCTGCTTAAAAGTGTGTTTATGAAGTACTTCTGCTAAAACTTTCAGCAGTTTAAAAAAAAAAGGCAAAATGTATCACTTCTGGATGAACTAAGTCTATGGGTACCTGTAGTAATTTTATGCAAATTACTATAGGTATGTTTATTTCAAGATTTGTGTTTTCAAATATGCCCCTTGTCAGAGCAAGGTCTGACAGTAAGGAGGCAGCTGTGTGGGAAAGAAGTTGGGGAAGGAGGGGCACAGAGGGCAAGGGGGCCACTTGATTTCCTCCCCCACCCCGCCCCAGATTTTCTTGCCCTGATCCATCAGTGGGTTGGGGGAAAATTCAAAGCAAACCTCTAATAATTAAATTTTATACCTGGAAAAGTATTTTTAAAATTATAAATTTTCCATATATAGAATGTAATTATTGGGGAGTTGTCTTACATTCAGGGTCATCTTACATTCAAGTAAATGCAGTATTCAGATTTCTAAGTTAGTTTTACTGAACATCTTGAATTACCAGTCTTATATCTGAAGAAGTTACTTGTGCTTTTTATGCATCTCAGGAAGGGTGGTGTATGCCTGTCCCTGGGGTGGGGATTAATCAATCAATCCACACTTACTGAAAGAACTATTCTATACTTTCAGAAGGTCTACAGATATTTTGGAGTGGGCAGTTAACCTTTCTGCATATCTAGAGCTCAGCCACCACCCCTCTACCAGCAAACTTTGGGGTCTAGTTCTGTTCCCTGAACTACAAGGCTGCTGAAATCCTATTTGGAAACACAAGTAGAGCATCTTGCTTAGAAAAAAATATCCATTTAACTGGGAAGACTGAAAAGACACCCAAATGCATGGATTTCTAAAATGGATTCAGATAGTAATTTTTCATCCTTTTATACTACTTTAAAATCTTCCATTTGGAAAATACCTATATATATATATATATGTACCTCACCTCTCTGAAATGTCAAAATGTTGGCTAAAGTCTATGGAGATCAAGTGTATTAAAGAAAGAAAAGATTTAAATTGTGGTATTAACAAATGAAAGAGGATGTGGAAAAGGCTTGTAAGGCTTATTATGTGTACAATTACAAATATATGTTCTAATTCATTGCGTCTTCCAAGAGATTCATTTAAGAAAAAACGAAAAAAATGTATTTTCCAAATGTGTTTTGCTATCCCTGTGCTGGCCTTACCTGCCACTGTCTCGTGGTAAGCTGGTGGACCTGATGGCTGCATTGGATAAGGTGGAGGATACTGTGTTGGATAAGGTGCTGCCGGCATTCCAGGTTGTGGCTGTATTGGTACAGGGTGATATCCTTGATATGGTACTGCTGGGTAACCTGGCGATATTCCTGGTTGCTGGGGATAAGGGGCATGGATCACTGTGGTAGCAGTTGTGGTGGTCACAACAGCTATAAACAGACCAAAGCAAAAATATTAGTATTCAACTGAATCAAAGATATAGAAAACTTTCTGAATCTGCTTTTCCTATTCCTTCCTAAAAGGAGAACCCCCTTTTTTTTTCTGTATTTATGGTTCATCTCAGGTGGAAGCCCCAGTACAGAGTTCTGGGGCTATCCAGAAACTATGAATTCACTTCTGCAGTTCAGTTATCTATGGATTCTGGATAAGACCCTATCTTAATCGTAGAATAGGGTCTACATTTTTAATCTAATTTATACTCAAAACTTGCAAACATTCACTCAACATGTGATAAATATAGTAGTAATGTAGTTGGTTTTAGTGCAATAGAACTTAAAGTGATCCCAGTGGAAGAAAAAACAGATTAGCTTGTTATAATTTATTAAGATATGAACTACTTTTCTAATAAGAAAGTACCTCAGTAAGACATAAAAGAAAATACAAGGCTAGTCCTATGATATATTCACATAAAAAAACAGCTATGTTTAAAATAGCTTAGCTTTGTAAATACAATATTGGCATACTGAATATTCTTCCTAATTTTAAAAGATACAGACTCATGAAATCTTATAAGAACTAGTCCACATTTTAAACTAGATTCTTGTACAACATCCAGAGTAGAAAACTAAGTTGATATTTCAAAGTGATACTGTATGCTTCATATGTTGGTGTGGCAACAAAGCACAGCTTGTTCAAAGATTTCCCCAGCTCTACTGCTGGTTGTTCATAACTGAAAAGTTACCTCAAAGTAGAAAGTTTTACACGTTTTAAGAATTTATAATAGAGAAAATTAACTGGGATTTCTGTCAGCAGTGATGCAGCAAAGATGAATGTATCTCATGAATAGATTTTCATAACTTAGTTCTCAGTGATAATCCAAGAAATGGAACCTCAAAGATTATCAATTTAACATGAGTTGGAGAGGAGAAAGTTTCTCATTCTCAGAAGGTTTGTTTTTCTCCTGGCCCTGATGATATTTCAGTAATTCAGCTGCAGTTCAAGATGCATTATATGGACTCCTGGTAAATGACTGCTATAGGAAATAACTTCTACAGAGATCTATTATTTCAATTTATGCTCACAAAAATAAATGTAACCGTTGAAAAAACCTTAAAAACACTGAATATTTTCTGACTGTTAGGGAAATTCTATTGTTACTTCACAGTTTTAAGTATCTCAGATTCTTAGCTTTTGTATTCAAGTTCATTTACCAATAATGCTATTTAAAAACAGATCTTTATTAAAAAAGATGAAAAGTAATTGCAAATAGTGAGATACTTACGTCGTGGTCTGCGACATATTTTATACAAACAGCAGCATGAACATGTGAAGCACAGAATGATAGTGACTACAAACACTGCAAAGATGGTAATTCCAACTGCAACAGAGGTGGTAAAACTAAAAAAACAAAAGTTAGTTGAAAGTTACACAAGTTTTCTATACAGGATTTTTACTATACAACTACAAACAAAAACGTTTAGAAGACTAGGAATATAAAACTTCACATTTAGTCATGTAAATAAAAGGCAAAGTAGAGATGCATCTTATAACCAGGGATCCTAGGTTTCCGTTAAAAAAAATACCAAATTCTCTGCTAAAAAAATCACAGTCTCTGCTAGAGAAAACCCAAAATCCTTTATTAAAATTAAAGCCCCCCTGGCTCTGCTGGTGCCCCTTGCCCCCCACCCATAGCCCCTGCTCTCCTAGCACTACCAGAGGGGCCCCCAGATGCCTAGGCTATAGACCCAGGTTTGCAGCCCCTGCCTCTGCTCCCCCCTCTGGTGGGCCAGCTGCCTGCCACTATGCACTCCTGGGGGAGAGGGGAGACCCACAACCCCCAGATTTGTACCCAGGGCAGGCACAGGCTGTGGGCTCAAGCTCCTGCCCTGCTGACACCCCCCGTGGCCTCCAGAGCTTTGTGGGCATGACCCAGTGTGGCTAAGGACAGCTGCTGGGGGATCTCCTTGCTGCTGCTGCACAACCCT